AAAGATGAAGGGCAATTTAAAAAAAAAAAAAAAAAAAAAGTCTGTAGCAGTCCAGCAAGCTCTTGTTTTAACAATAAATTATATACAATGCAATTTATTACACATAATGAATTGCACATCTGGTCAAACATAGCGCAAGAAGCTGGTAAAGTAAGCCTTTGTAATGGTCAGAGAACTAAATAAAACACACACACCATTTATTTTTTTTAAAACTACTTATCCAAGGACATGACAAAAGTATAATTTTAGTCAAAATCGTATTTAACTGTGCTAAGAAGCGCTTCTCATTGGTTGGTAGTACAGGGTATGGATGGCACACCCGAACCGGCGGAAGGAAAGGACTGTTTGTCGTAAGGTTAAGTATAGCTGGGGGGGGAGGGGGCCATATTTAAGCGGGTAATTCCAATTTTCCAAATCCCTTGTGAACTACCCTTTAATGCACATTGTGCGTGTTAGAGAGTGGAATGGGGGCAGCGCTCAGCTCAGAGCACGCACTTTGTTTTCACATAACTTTATTGCTATCACACAGGGGCTAACAAGCCCCTATGTCAGGCCTCAAAATCTCCACTCACCCCCTCGCCATTGGCGAGTGAAAATTGCGTGGGGGCGAGTGGAATGTCAGAGGGGATGCGTTGCAGGGGGGACCAGGGATGGGACACTACCGACGTGGCGATTGCTTGCTTCTGTTCTCCTTGGCCACTGCAGCTACAGAGCGGCCAAGAAGGAGAAGAGAGAACAGTAACGAACAAGAGAACTGAAGCAGGCACTCAGAGAGGCGGCTCTGATCACACCTGTCAGCGATCCCTCTCTCTCTCCTCCCGGCTGCTCTGAAGCTGCAGCGGCTGGGAGGAGAGAGGGAGCGCTGACAGGTGTGATCAGAGCCGCCTCTCTGAGTGCCCGCTTCGTGGAGCTGAAGCGGCCGGGAGGAGAGGGAGCGCAGAGAGGTGTGATCAGAGCAGTCTTAAAGAGGCCCCCCCCTCCCAGTCCACATCTTTCAGACGTTATTAATCTGAGTTGCCCCACTCAGTATGCACGTCGCTTGCGGCCATATTGAGTGGGGCACTCATATAAATAACGTGGTGGATTAGTCTGACCCAGGGGTGGACTGGGCCCGGGGGCAGGGTGGCAATTGCCCCCCGGGCCTCTATGATGCCTTTGCAAATGCCCCCCGCCGCCGCAAGCACTTAATCTCTCCTCTCTTGGCCGCTGCAGCTGCAGAGCTTTTATGGAGCCTTCCTTCCAATAAAGAAGATCAAGCACATCATTGTGCTCGATCTCCTGTGCAGCCTGGCTTGTAAAAGCTGAGAAAGGAAACGCTGCCCCCCCCCTGCTCTACATTTAGCCCTGCATTCCCTAGTCCATAAATATAAACTGTGTACAACATTATTACAATGCATACTTATAACTAGGCATGTCCCGATACAGTGCATTTTCATGAGTACTTGTACTCGTGAAAATGCCCCACTACTAGAGGCCGATATCGGCCCTTTAAGTTAGTAAACAAGTTGACAGCGCCGGTCCAGCCCCACATCACCTCCTTCCCGGTGCCCGCAGACACAGGCACAGCCCTAGACAGCCCCACACCGCCCAGCACCCACCCACAGAGCTCTGTAGAGCCTGGCACTTGCCCGTAGAGCCCCTGAGGACACCCTCATGCAGTCCCGGTGAGACTCAAAAGCAGCCCTCTATAATTGCTTTATAATCATGGACGGATGGGATCTGTAGTCCTCTATTGCTGGTTGCCATTTCCCATTGCTGAATAAATCATAGATTGCCAAAATTTGTAGTCCCTCTATAGCTGGTTGCCATTCTTCATTGCTGTATAATCAATGATTATATAGCAAAGGAGAAGGGCAGCCAGCTATAGAAGACTACACATCTCAGCAATTCATGATTGCTGGTTGCCATTCTGCACTACTGAATAATCATCGATTGCTGAGATTTGTAGTCCCTCTATAGCCGGTTGCCATTCTCCATTGCTGTATAATCATGAGATCTGTAGTCCTCAATTGCTGGTTGCTATTCCTCATTCCTAAATAATCATGGATTGAGTTACAGTTCTTCAGAATTATAAAGAAACTGCCCTAAAATGATTAGTCTGTAAAAGTCACATGTTCCTTTATTATATATATATTTATTAGACACTAGTACGGTCATTACTCTTCCTTCATGCACCTTTCTGTGATGAGCTTTGATAGAACACAGAGATCGAGCAGCAAAGCCACATTCTTCATATTCACAACAATATGCCGGCAGCTTACTGTGTGTGTCTAGGTGTTTTCTTAGGTCTACCAGGTTCTTACAGCTAAAAAAAAAAACCAAATATAAAAACAGTCAGACACATTGCCCAGGAAAATGAAACAGTGATGTACAGATATGTTCATATTAAACATAGCACAACCTCTTAAAATCTGCTTTTATAAAGCCTCCATAATCCCCTGTGCAGCACAAAGACTGAAATGTCGTGTAGTGTGAGGCAATGTCCAAGACGAGCAAAATAAACTATTTAGAATACACAGGTTCATAAAAGGAAGAACAATGCTAAGCACAGAAATGACGCGAGATTACTGCAGATATGAAACATAGTAGAGAACAATGCTACCGAAATGTATAGATTTATTTACATGCAAATATTAACATCCCCCCATTCTGCCCAGATTGATTGTCACGGTGCATCAAGGGTTAGTCCATCCAGCTGTCAGCTTGTGGTAAGTTTAGGCTCAGACTAGATTCGTACTGTAGCAAAGTCTTTACAGTTGTATTCGGAGGTTTCCTTTTGTTTTGATGTGGCCATTATATGCAGTCTCACTCTCCCTGCTGAATTACACAAAAGGTCCAATTCACACAATTAAATAATAAATAAAAGGGTATACCCAGAGGAGAACTAGCAAATGTCTCCAAGGAACAGAGAGGCACGATGCTCAATTCACAAAAGGTGTATTCTAGTGTTTTACCATTACCAGTGCTACTAGAATACTGGAAGCATCATTTTATGGGCCATTATGATAAGATCAATGCAAGAGCCAGTTCACAAAGATTAACACACGGGTTATTATTTATGCAAATATCTCTAGCTTTATGCTGATGATAATCATGTCTGATGGAAGCAGGAAACGGGCATATTTGAGGTGGTGGTAAAGTAATACTTTGTGAGATGAAATAGCCATTTATAGAAACAATTGAGGGGCTCAAAAATATATATTTATTTCACATGAAAACATAAGGATCACACAGCTTAGTAATATTTATGTTTGTAAATGAAAACACATAGAGGATTATCATCAAAATATAAAGCGGAGTTCTCTCTCACTCCACCACCTCTGCATCCACAATGCTAGATCTCTCTCACTCCACCACCTCTGCATCCACAATGCTAGATCTCTCTCACTCCACCACCTCTGCATCCACAATGCTAGATCTCTCTCACTGCACCACCTCTGCATCCCCAGTGCTAGATCTTTAGAAATTTGTTTCACCCGCAAAACAGAACTGCTATTCTGGGTGGGACTGGAATCTAATCAGCTCTTTTTTTATGCTGAGCCTTCCATTAAGAATGAAGAAGATATGGATGTGTTAGGATAAAGCGTATAGAAGAAGAAAATGTCTTAATTCACCTGTAGTCACAATGCTCACATTTAAACGGCCGCTCATCACTGTGCCTGAAACGAATGTGAGTCCGCAGGGTGGACGGCAGTGGGCATGTCATATCACATAGAGGGCACTTATAATGGTTTACTGTAACACAGGAAAATATAATAAAACACTTTAAAAATTACTGAAGAAATACATAAAGAAAAAAAAACTAGGTGAAGGGCTGTTAAGATTACAATATATGTATTTACAAATAAACCAATTAGCATGGTTCTCAATCATATAATCACTATGACAGCCAATACTGGAGATCACGAGGCAGGCTGGAGCTGTCATAGGGCAATAAAGGAAGTTAGAAAACACATTTTGAAAGTAAAAAAAAATGTATTTGTTTTTGTCTGTTTATTAGCTTATAATAAATAAAGCATTTGACAAGTATTTAATAAAACAGTATAGCAAATCCCAGCCTTATACAACGAAAACATGATTTTGGTAGAGAAATGAGTCAGAGTTATTGCCATCTGATGCTGCTGAATTTGGCCTGGGTAAATTTGGTCATTTGGTTTAATGACCTCTTGTAACCTCATCTTTTATATGTCATTTAAAAAATTTGTATTTTGTTGTGTTTTGGGGCATTAAATTAAATTTTTCACTAAATGTTGGGGTTTAATAAGAAGTTGCGCTAATATTGCGCAACATAAAAATTTGCAACTACCACCATTTTATTCTATAGGGTCTTGGCATTCCTATATAATGTTGGGGGGTTTTAAGTCATTTTCAGGCCTAAAATGTGGAATATAACATGGGTGCAAAAAATGAAAAAAGGGCCTCAGTCATGAAGGGGTTAAAGGTATGAACTGAAGTGCAATAATCAGCACACAATTGAAAAGGACAGGAAATTGCAAGAACGCTTTTGCTGAAACTTACCATGATTACGCATGTGATCTCGCAGCAGCCTTTCTGTTGCAAATCGCTTTGAACAATGCGTGCACTGAAATCTATGTTCTGTACAGGTGACACAAAACACAGAAGGATGTTACATCTTACGGAACAAGCTGTACCCATTTTCTCTTGAGATTTAAGCAGCAAGTGATCACAGCAGAGTAGAATTGCATTTGTCTTTACATTTTTGACAAATCCTATACATATTAATTGTCAATATGTAATGTTCAGCAAAGGAAGTCCATGATACCACCCTCATAGCTATAAACACATACACAACCAAACAGGCATAAAGTAGGAGTGGCAACCACTGCGCAAGGAACGCATCAGCGGAAGCAGGTCCTTTACTGTCATATCATATACTCTCACTACTCCCTTAGACATGCGCCTATACATATTCAATTTCATAACCCATAGTGCCAAAAAAACAGATAACATTTATGTAGTTCACATAGTAACAAAGGAAGGTCAATCAATCGACTAGGACAGAATCGATGGCAGTTGTAGCTCATCTGTGTCCAGCTAATATCGGTCTCGGGGCCATTCACATCAAAAACGCAAGTCAATGAAGGTCTGTTGATTTCTGACTTTTTTTTTTACTTGCATTCCGTTGCAATAACATCCATTTTTTTTTTCGTATTGTATAATGTTGTGCTGAGAAAAAGTAGAGCATGCTCTACTTTGTTTTCAGTGCACTACAACACATCGCAGCAATGTGAACTGGTCCCATTAACACCCATACATTTTTCGTGTTGGCATGCTTTGAGTGTGAATGGGGCCTCAATCCAATGGAATCTAATCTTATTCTTGTACCATTTTTAATACTATTAAAACACACACACACACACACTTTGGCCGCTGAAACATTTCGGCTGAAAGTTCCCGCTGGGCGCCGGTCTGTGTACCTTCCGATGCAGCACTGACACCTAGCATGGAAGAGACAACTTTCAGGATGCCAAGCGGTGTGGGTGGTGACAGCTGTGATCATTGCAGGAGGCCGAGCTCTCCTCTCGGCCTCCTGTGACAGGATAGAGAGCGCTGCGAGGCGGTGAAAGCTATGATCTGTCGCTGAGTGTTTGTAAATAACCGGACATAGTGTGCTTACCTTCCCCAATTATGAATGAATGGGATGGGATCTACATCACCTCCTAATCATTCATGACTGTGGATATAGTAAACACACTATATACACATCATAAATGAACTTATATATAAGTTTTTTTTAAAGAATAAAACAACAAAAAAAAAGTAATTTTCGGTTTCGGCCTGACAAATATTTTATTTTCGGTTTCGTTCTCAAAACTCCATATTACATCCCTAATATATACATACATACATACATATACTAGGGATGCACAGATTCCAGTTTTTCAGGATGGAGTACCGATTTTATTTTTCCTGATACTCGCCGAATACCGAAGCCGTGTGGCCTGATCAGGAAGTCGGGCGTAGGATCATGACGAGCGAAAGAACACCGGCTTCACTTGCCGAGGCAGCGTGGCTTTCTGACCAATCAGGAAGCCGTGACGCGAGTCATGACCCGCCTTCTGGCTTCCTGATTAGCTAGGAAGCCAGCTTCACTTGTTGGTAGGCAGCCTGGCTTCCTAACCAATCAGAAAGGCGCACGGCGCATCATGACCCACCTTCCGGCTTCCCGATTGGAAAGGAAGCCGGCTTCATGCTCCCTCAGCAATGCCGGTCAGAGGGAGATCTCTATCTAAACTATTATATAATACTATTTTATATAACTACTATAGCAAGGACATCTCATCCCTCCCAAAAAAAAAAAGATAGAAAAAAGCTGTGCGTTTGTTAATGCGCCAAACTCTACATACACTAAAATGCACGCCACTGGGTGAAGCGACTCACCATACTACAATATTACTATGAAACATAAATATTATGAAACTGTGTTGTTTAAATCCCAAGACAATTGATATCACATTCCAGATTCTAGCAAACCTAGCCCAGTATAATGTGAAGCAAGAATCAGGCCGTTAGAAAGTATGGATGTATTTGCGTTTTCATAAAATAACAAAGGAAAAGCAGACAACCAAACACACACAATTTGCTTAAACATAACCTGTTCTATACCATCGCACATTGCCTTACTTACGATCTAGGGATGTTTGCCGCCGGAGGTGATCATAGAATTTCGTGTTGTTGGAGAACATTCCCCCACAATTAGGGCAGGAGACAACTTTTTCTTGAGTGTGACTGCGAAGGTGCTCCCGGAGCTTGCATCTACTTTTACAGGAACAGTCACAGTCTGAAAAATAGGAGAAAAAGCGATAATTGGGAAGCTCTAAGGGCAGAATATTGAAGAGTACCATTAAGGGGAGGTCAATGCATAGTGTTGTTAATGTATAGAGACCTCTCTTCTGCAGGTCTGAAGCAAGACCTGAAGAAAAACTCTCGAAAGCTTGTCTTTTGAATATTCTGTTAGTCTAAAAAGAAAGATGTCATTGCATACAGCAATACTCTGTTTTTGTTTTTACACTTTGTTTACTGGACTAATACAGCTTACTGATTTGCATTTTATATATAATATAATGTGAAAAACTGTAGCTACTGCCCAAAACAAGCAATCAGGTTTAACCCCGGACATTGTTATTAATTTTTTTTTTTTAAATCACATTCAGGGGAAGCTCACCTTTCCAGATACACATCAAGACCCGATTTTCTTTTCCAGCCATTTCATATTCAGCACTTAGACCATGAGCGTCAACATGTCTATAGTACCACTCAGCATTGTCAAAAGAGGTCTGCAGAACAAAAAGAAAAAACAAATGCAAAAAGTAAATATGTAAAATTAAAGGAGAACTATGAGGTGAACGCTTTTCACTCACCTCATAGTTCTAGCTGACCTGTGACAATGAGACGGTCACAGGTCGGCTCAGTAGATCGGGAGGTGACGAACACATACCAGCGTTCGCTCATCTGTCGATCCTGTCACAGCTCTCTGCCGTGACAGGGGGAGGGGCTGGATTCCCCCCTCCCCGCTCCGATCTGCCAGCACTGACTGGCGGAACGGACAGCTGGCTCTGCCTCTAGATAGGCAGAGCCAGCTGTCACTCACGCAGCTGGGCAGATCTTGACATCGATGTCGGGATCCGCTCCGGCGTCTCAGTATACCGCGAGCTGCAGCTCGCGGTTTACTGAGCTTAGGGTAACGGGAGGACGCTAGTTTGTGTCCTCCCGTTACCCTAAGGAGTACTATGGGGAAAAGCCCTGACCCCATAGTTCTCCTTTATTTAATTCTACATTAACAATAATAAAAAAAAAGCACATACTATCCCTGTAATAACAGAAAGCTGCAATGGCAAAACACTGGGAAAGATTTGTAATACTTTACCCTAAAATGTCGTTTAAGAGGTTAACAGACAGAGGATCAGAAAGAAATACAGAAGCAGCGGTGCAGAAAAGCAACAGTATGCCAGAACTGGCACACAACAAAAGATACTGCTTCCATCCCAAGGGGGAGGGCAAAACTGTGTTTTATTATCTGTGATCATTTGAAGCAGGGGTAGGCAAACTGCGGCCCTGCAGCTGTTGTGAAAATACAAATCCCATCATGCATCTGCCTCTGAGAATCATGCCTGTGGCTATCAGAGTCTTGCAATGCCTGATGGGATGTTTAGTTGGACCACAGCTGGAGTGCCAGAGTTTGCCTATCCCTCATTTAAAGGATATGTTCACTATTAAATATCTTTGTTTGTTCGAGCCTGATTTTCTTTCGAAATTTCCCAGTGATTGTGCAGATGCAGTCAAACCCTGCTTCCATGGTTTTGGCCTGCCCAAGACATTCTTCCTATCATCGAAGCTTTCTATTAAATAGTTACACATAGAGAATAATGGATACCCGAGGTCCATTCACGGTTTTAAAAACAGCCACTTTTAGACAGACCTGGCGCACGCATCATTCCATAGGATGCTGAAAAAAACGGTCATAACAAAACCGGTCATAAACACTACACCACTCAGGGCAGGCTGTGGAGACGGTAGCTGGGGGCCTCTGTACATACAGTCTGTACTACATTGGGAAATGTGAGGAGGAAGGCCAGGCGAGGCAAAAGAAAGAGCTTAAGTAAAAGTGAACTTATCTTTTAAAGATACATGAATTTTAATACAGCATTACTAGTGTACAATGAGATCCGGTGATAAAGACATATGTAAACATATTACACACTTGAAAATCAGGAATCTAGGAGACGGGAAGCACAATTAATTGGCTATTTAGCCCTGAAATATTTCAAGCTACACATATGCTGGAGGTAAAACTATTTTAATTTGAGCCTGCATTTGTTATCCATCATTGAACTCAGCAAGGACATATTAAGAAAAAGACACAGACTGTTAAGACTCCTCGTTCTCACCTCACACTGCTCCCACATACATATGAAGCTGTCTTGGAGTTCTGGAATCATGTTTCGGCTCTGTGTATCTAGCTGGCAGAGACTGAGGTCTGGCTGATTCTGTAGTGCCTGGAGTCCCATTTGCTTTAGCTTGGTGTGGTAACAGTGAAAATAAACATGACGGACAAGCTCTTCTGGGCTATCCAGGGAGAAAAATCCACAGCCTTGCCATAAACAACAAAACTCATCTGAAAAACAAGACGTTCCGGACATAACATGATTTTGTTCAAACTTCAGTGGATGTTAACCTGTAGATAGACAGCCTGAATGGGAGCAATACATTAAAGAAAAACCAGTGTGCAGAATGCAGACAAAGGTAAATGTGCATAAAACTGCACCTTTACCCTTTAGTGACCAGAGATCATTGATGCCTAGGTGCCCAGGCAAAATTTAGCAACACCATTGCTTACATTTATAATTACATGATTGGGATCTTTCAGTTGTTAATGAGGACCAGAGCGGTCAGTCACAGCCAGGTTTGCCACATGCCAGCCATTCAGTGTCAGTTGGTATGTCTCAAAGGATGACCTTTTATTAACGCACCCTCACCATGGGGCATTGTGCTGAGAAACAATAAAGAGTTCATCTATTACATTTATAGCGGAACTGAACTCACTTCCCATCGCTCCCTCGCCGCTGCCAACATTTTCACCCAGTATTCTTCCGAGTTCCGGACCAAATTACATTTTCATTGGTTTCATCATTTAAAAACTAGTCCATTAAATTAAAAATCCAAAGTTTGCTTTTTACCAAATATGGACCAATGATGGATTCCAATTACTTTTGCCAGTTTTTAAGTTATTTCAGAGAAAATTGTGGGTTCTTTTTTTTTTGTGGAAATGTACCAACAAATTTGTACACAGTTATAAAAGAATACCTGGCGAGCCTGACATGAAGGTCCTTGTTGAGGTACTTCCTGTTATGGGGTGACAGCTGACTCCTAAATATGCTCCTACATCAGGGGTGCCCATAAGGTCGATCGCGATCTACCAGTCGATCGCGTAGCGATCACTGGTAGATTGCAATGTTCTGTCTTCTCTGGATCCCCACTGCATCTGTATGCAGCGGGGATCCGAGGAATAGTGAAGCTGCAGTCGGCGGCGGGGGGCGGGAGACGGAGCCGCTATCACAGCAGCACGCCGAGCGGTGAGGAGAGAGAGAGCCGCTCGGCTTGGATCTGACAGCCGGCGGCTCTCTCTCTCCTCACTGCCCAGGAGAGCAGGGGAGATCCAGAGGAGAAGTTGCAGCCCCCCTCTGTGCGTGGCCGAGCGGCAGAGGATCGCTACATATCAATGATATGTACCAATCCTCTGTGCAGGACAAACACTGGAGCAATCAGCTGATTACTCCAGTGTTTGTAAATAGCTGGGGACACATAGTACTGTGTCCCCAGTTATGAATGAACACGATGTGATTTACATCACTTCCTGTTCATTCACGAGTTTCTCAATGGGGAGTAGCACTCTGTACAGAGGCTCCACCCCATTCAGAAACTGGTGATAGTAAATATTTTCTGAATGAATGGGAAGCCTCTGTGCTTTCCATTCATTTAGAACAGAGGCTGCAGAAAAAGGGATTGAGGACTCTGTCCTCAATTTCTTTTTCTATTTTAAAAAGGTAAATATCAGGGGGCTTTTTAGACCCCTAATATTTGCCCAAAGCCCCCCAAAAGTAAAAAAATAAATTAAATAAGAAATAAAAATAAAATTAAAAATCCTGGAGGCAGGGCGCTGCCTCCAGGGGCCTGTTGGGGCCACACGCCTGTTGGGGGGACTTTTTTTTTCTTGGCACGTGTGCAAAAGGAACTGGCTAGTGCTATGCTCCAGCGGTGCTTGTGCGGCTGCCGGCTGAATGTGTCAGACGCCGCACACAGAAAGGGGTGGGACACCTCTCCCCGTGTGCAACGTCCGCCACACAAGCACTGCAGGAGCATAGGTCGCATGCGCCTCTAGAACGCGCTGGAGTGTGTTCAGATCGCCCGCACATTAGTGCCTACGTTCCGGTCCAGTGTGATCTGCAAAAATTGTGCTTGCAGCATTTTTGAAGATCGCACTGGACCGGAACGCAGGCACTAATGTGCCTGGGTTCCAGGTGCAGGCGATCGCACTGTGGGTGAGGGGCCTGTCTGCGGTGCCATTGACTTCAATGCACCGCCACAACCCCTCCCGCCCCTGAACGCAGGTGTTTTTTCATTGGTAGATCTCATTGTGCTCGTCATTTGAAAAGTAGATCTCCAGAAGATAAATTGTGGGCGCCCCTGTCCTACATTGTATCACGCGTTGTACAACCTATCACACATCCCACAAGGCTGTTTAGGCACATTTTGTGCACTGTTCTCATTATCAGAAAACTGGTCTAAAGCAATAATGTGCAGCTGGAGTAAGTACATGGGAAGTGATTGTAAAAAAGGGGAAAAAAAAAATACTGGACAGAATCAGCAGCACAGAGATGCGCAAATGGGAAAAGACGTTTAAAAACGTCCACCCGCATTCAAAAGCGAGTGGTTAAAGCTGTTCCCACAGAGATGTCTCCTCACTTCATGTCCTGATGGTACACTGACACCAGGAAAGGAAGTGAGAGGAAATTGCCCCAACTGAGCCACAGAAAGGAGGTAAAAACTATTAGGCTCTAATCCTTCCTCACTTTAAAACAAAAAAAGTTTTGACTAGAGATATTAAAATGTTGAGTAATGTCTTTTGCAGATTTGTGGTGTGGAGTTTCACTGGCAGAGCCGGTTTTTAGTGTACGACTTCCTAATTACTCGCTCATCTCTAATTGTGCCAAGGTACAATCTGGCACCTTGTGCTTTCTACTACCCACTACTTACCGTAGCTATGTCATTTTTTTGTCTGTTTAATCTGGTACTTACCTTCCTGGTGCTCACACAACACCTCTGTCTGCAACCAGAGCCTTCAATACATTGGGATATGGGGGAACACGACACCCCTCTTTCTCCCACAATACAGTAGTTGTACTGAGCACCACGCCTGAGTACTATCACATTAAAAGGAATGCACCTACACCACCATCAGAAGCTTTGACATTCAAAACAGGAAATAGGTGTGTAAAGTGAACCTTTTACTTTGCCAAGTGCAAAGTACAGGCGAAGTACATAAAGGGAAAGCAAACAGGTCATTTTAAATGTTCCCCCCCAGCAGCATATGCTCACTTCCCTTCATTCCCCACCACTCCATTCAGAACTGCGAGTGAGTTAAGAAGTTCTGTGTAAGCTTTAAAGTACACAAGCTGGAGTTTTAACCCCTTCGTGACTGACGACGTACAGTGTACGTCGCCAGCATCAGGGCTGTTTAAACAGAGTCCCGGCGGCAAAAGTCGCCGGGAGTCTGTTTAAACTTGTAGAGCCGACTGTGTCCTTGGTGTCCGCGGGGAGCTGGGGAGGAGGTCGACGAACTTCCGTTCATCGATCCCCTCCCCGTTCTATGGGACCGGGATCGATGCAGATTGCATCACTTCCGGTCCCTGGGCTGACAGTTCTGGGCTCCTGCAGCCCAGCTATAAGCTATTGAAGAGCGATCTGCACTTCAATAGCTTATTTCCAGTGTAAAGGTGACACTGGGGGTCTTTTGGACCCCCAGCATCACCTTAAAGAGTACCTGTCACCACCATCTGCTATCACATGGGGGGGCTTGTAAGCCCCCCCATGTGATAGCAGTCAAAGTAAAGTAAAAAAAAAAAAAAAGAAGGTTTTTAAAATTAAAATAAATCAAATAATAAAAAAAATTTAAAAGTCCCCCGCGTCGCCACGTAAACACGCGTCGGGTGCGCCTACGTATGAAAACGACGAACGCGCTACACATGTTGGGTATCACCGCGCACGCCGGAGTGAGAGCAACAGTTCTAGGGCCAGTATTTTGGGGTATCTCTAAATTGATGACCTGTGGGGGCTTTTAAAGCGTCTTCTATGGACTTTTTGGGGTACTGCAGTTTTTCGCCGTTTCACGGTCGCACGCAATTTGTAACCTGGGCATGTTGGGTATCGTTTTACTCGTTGTAACCTCATCTTTTATATTTCATTTAAAAAATTGGTATTTTGTTGTGTTTTGGGGCATTTAATTAAATGTATCACTAAATTTTGGGGTTTAATAAGGAGTTGCGCTAATATTGCGCAACATAAAAATTTGCAACTACCACCATTTTATTCTACAGGGTCTTGGCATTCAGAAAATATATAATGTGTGGGGGTTTTAAGTAATTTTCAGGCCTTAAATGTGGAATATAACATGGGTGCACAAAAATTAAAAAAAGGCCTCAGTCATGAAGGGGTTAACAGGGCAGGGGACTACCGCTTTACCCCTATGTGACAGGGCTGGTGTGTGGCACTATAGTATACCTGTTACTTTGCCTAGCATACCAGGAGCAGCTGTAGCAGAGCAAAGAATGGAGTCACGGAAACTCCATTGGAATAAGAAGTATTAGTAGTCTTGTCTCAGGATGTCTCTTGCTCAGTTTTTTCCTTTAAAGTGGACTTGTTATCAGATATATTCTCATGATAAGTCCAGCATGCCAAGCAATGAGGCTGATTTGCTAAAAGATTTCAGAATGTTCACACAATAAACCATTTCATCTTGTGCAGATGAAAAAAAGTTAACACATTTTCTGTGTACATGATTGGATGTTTATAGTGAACATCTCACGATTTATTGTGTAAAGATTCTCAAATGATTTCGTAAATCAGTCTGAACATGTCAGTGTAACACTTCGTTATTTGTTGCCTCTAAAGCTGGCCATACACCTATAAATGACCTGCAGAGCTTCTATGGTCAGATGGAGAAAAAGTGCACCAGATTCCTCCATCTACGCTAAACTGTGTGGATGGAGGAATCTCCCACTGGGCCAAGCTTCAGCATCTTGCTAGTCGGCCCCGCTGGCTGTCAAAATACCTGAACAATCTGATTGGATGCAGGTA